TCCAAAAATACATCCAGTAATACAGAGGGTCTTGATTTGTCCATCGGGGATCGACTGGATCATTCTTGTTTGCTAATTCCTGCAATCATTTTATAAATGAGTATTTCTTTAACTAGTTGTTTTTTTTTTTTAAATGTAATTATAACTGGTGAACAGAATACTTTTATTATTATTATTATTTATTTATTTATTTCTTTATTTATTTCCAGACCCTCAACTACCAATGACCTAACATGCATATTTTGGTGTGCAGGTGCATTATTTCCTTTTAGAATAATTTGATATTTTCATGACATGTATCACTTTATTCATAAAACCCACTTAATTTAAATACATTTTTATTACACTAAATTGATAAATATTATTTTACGTTTTTGTATCTCAAACCTCCAAAACATCAGATGGTGCAACCATGTGCACATATGAACAAACTAAGAAAACTATTTAAAATGGTGTTTTAGTGATGATAAATTCAAAATAAAATACTGTGGCATCATTTTATGTTTAAAACCTTTCCTATAAACAATTTTCACAAATACCAGTAGTTTTAAAGCTGTTGAAAAACTTGTCTGACAAAAAACTTGTCTGACAATTTGTATGTTCTCAAATGTCAGGGTGAGGTAACCGAAAACATGAGACCATTACTATGATATATATATATATATATATGTGTGTGTGTGTGTATGTGTATGTATGTATGTATGTATGCACATGTATATGTATGTATGTATGAACTAACATAGGCAAAAGCTAATACAGGCATCCAAGTAGAAGCCTGTTCAATGTAAAACTAGTTGCAAAAGTCAGGTGGTGCAACCAGAAAGCCAGGTGGTGAAACTGCATTGAGTGTCCCTATATGAAAAAATAAATAAATAAATAAATAAAACATTTAAGCTAAATAAATGAGACATTTAAGCTAAGATTGTCCATTAATTTTCTAAAATATATTTTAATTATTGTTTTAAATGTTTGATGCAAGGAAAGACTATCTTGCAAAAAGAAAAGAAATCTGACAAGTCTTGACGGCATTTTATTTTGTTGTTATTACTTTACAACAGTCAGACATTTCAGAATTTTAAATGGTAATATGGCAGTTTATTCTCATGTTTTATACTCATCAGAGGAGGAAAAGGGAGGGAAAATATTTTGTCAACCATTACATTTTTGGTTAAATCACTGTCCATTTTTGTTTAGAAGTCATTATATAATGTTCCATTCCAGTTGCTATAGATTTAAAGGGTTAGTTCACCCAAAATTCTGTCATTAATTACTCACCCTCGTGTTGTTCCAAACCCGTAAGACCTTTGACAGAATTTTCATTTTTGGGTGAACTAACCCTTTAATGTTTTCAAATCTTGGAAACATCTGATGAATGCATTTTTGATATTTTAAATGAAAATTTTCAATGGATTTAAATTGATGATTTTTTTATTCAATATAAAACACAACTTGCAAAACACTGTATTGCATTTCAGCTCTTACATTTTTTATTAGTTTACTACTTTTACTTCAACAGAGACACTTGTATTTGTATTTTTTATATGTAATTGAAATGTAAAAAAAAAAAAAAAAAAAAACGTATTCAGCATATTTTCTGACATTATTAATGTTGTCAGGTGGCACAACTGATATTCGTCAGGAGGTGCAACCACGTAAATTCTTCATTTAAACAAACATAATAGGTCAATAATAAGTCAAAGTGAACAAATGGCTGAAAACTAGATTGTGAATAGTTATTACATTGCAGACACTCTAAGGTAGCCTTTCTCAAAGTCCGGACTCCAAGTGCACTCGTATAACTTAGACTTCCGTGGCACACACACACAGGGGCGCACGAACCAGTGTTGCAGTTTTTACCGACTTTTTTGTAATACAAAGCACATAGCAACTAGCGACATTTTGGATAAACCTTTTAGCTTCATTCAGTAGAATAATGTCACCGGTTTCGCCCCGCGAGCGCAAGGTTTTTCCCGACTGGTAGAGTTAGCAGCACATTCAACTGACCGAACCGCAACAGACTTGTGAATGAATGAGTACAAAACAGCGTTTCCAAAAACCTATCACTGTTGACTGTCTGGGCATATGAACATGAATGTAGATCATCTGTAAATATGCACATATTTTGTTACACAGACGGACGTTTGTGCTGCATGATATAAATAAAGTAATTCACTGCTGTATAACAGCATATTGCAGTTATCATTCAAGATTTTAGCAATTCAGTTGAAGTGACTTTAGGTTACATTGAAGTACTATTTCAGAAACAGAAAACATGCACATTCATTGGGCATTTAGTTGTATAAAAATGCATTAGGCTACTTTATGTAACAGTTCAGAGAGTAAACGCAAGTATGACTTGATGATGCAATGAATATGATAATTAGCATATATAAAGTTGAATTGTTATATAAAGTTATAAGCATTTTTATTAAAAAAACATTTTTATAATAACAATTATTTCGGACCCATTCACGTTGATGAGAATTCAGATTCGGACCTTTGAATGTAAACTTTGAGAACCCCTGCTCTAAGGGTTATTTTGCTAAGATTTCTCTTAGAAATAAAATCAGGAATATAAACATAATTTACACATTTTTGTTTGTACCACCTGACATTTTTGAGTGGTGAAGTTTAAAAGTAAAAAAAAATGCATTTAAATACTTTGAAATGTTATGTAACTAATTAAACTTGTTTAAACACATTGTTCCGAAGTCAGAAATATGCATTGCATTCATTTTGAAAAGGTTTTCAAAAACTAACTTTTAGAAGCTTTATTTGTCATTGACCCATATGCTTGTAACTGTATGCTCCTTATGACCAGTGCCCTTCAAACAGAGCATAACCAATGCCTACAATTTGTAATCTCACTTATGAGAAAAAAGTGGAGCGAGAGAGAGACAAAGGAGAAGGGTGCACCTGTGCATTGTCATCAATCAATACAAGAGACTGTAGAAGAGCTTTTATTGCTCAATCCAATTAAGCCCTTAACAAGTTCAGATGAGCCTCTCACTAATGAGTCACTCCACTCCCACAGCACATTCATCACCCCATTTGCTAATGGACTCAGAGCCAGCAATGGCCACTCCAAACCAAATGCCCCAAATAGTGTGTGAGAAAAGCGATATATAACGAATTCTACAAACTTTGGCTGTAAGCTTTTTTTGTGTGTGTTCTAGTTTTATGTGCAAATCATAAAGTTTATTATTAACTCCATACATTTCCTTGAGATTTATTATGCAATGGCATCACTGTTGTTAAGATTTTTAAATGCTGAATAAAGTCATTTTTAATCTTATATTTAATCTTATACAGTCTTAAAAGGATAGTTCACTAAAAAAATAAAGTTCTCATCATCTACTGACCTTTCTTTCATCTGATAAACACAAAAGAAGATATTTTGAAGAATGTGTTTAACCAAACAGTTGCTGGTAGCCATTTACTTCCACAGTGTGGAAAAAAAAAACTGTAATGCAAACAGACCGAATTTAACTGAGAATAATTTTTCATCTCATGACTGCAGGTCTGAATGATATATCTGAGCACTAAACAAAAGGCTTCAGTTGAAGTCTAAGCTAACATGAAGCACTAGACTTCTGAGGACATCAGTGTTTACCTGTTTATAGCCTCTGCCCAAACTCATTTAGAATGGCATGAGGCTTGTGGGTCAGTGATCATTCTGGAATCTAATAAAATACTTAAGTCACATCAGGGTTTACAGAAGAATTTTTCTGAAAGTAATGAGCACCGACAAACTTTCATAGTGTGCAGATGGAGACAGTGCACTTCAGGTCATCTGAGTTTAGTCAAGTGTAGACCTTTAGATACATTAGATCACTTTGATATTTTTAAATACCTTTATGCCAATAAAATATTTAACCAAATTTATTAGATTGTCAGTTCCACAATTTTGCAGAGAGCTTCATTGCTTAAAGGTCCCAAGAGAACAACAAAAGCAATAAAACCTCACTTAACTGAAAAGAGAATAATGCTGCCAACTCTTTATGGGGAAAGAGAGGAAATGCAGTTTGATTATTTATTTATTTTTTTTTAATCTGTGTTCGTCTATATCCAGCACCGTGTGACCAAAACTTGTTTTCAATATTGGACTGTACTCTGCCAATTTCTTTGAAAAAGGTTAATATAACATGATTCGACAGTCTGAGAGGAAATATTCTTGTCAGATGAATAAAATTTTCAGAATCACTTCCAGGGTAGTTTAAAATGTTGTGCTGTTATGGATCAATGTTCTATTGTCATGGATCAAATATACCGTGAATATTCACTTATTCTATCTACATGTGTGATGCAACCACTTTCCAAGGACAAGCTACTTGTCTGGCTACACTAAATAAGTGCAACAAAACACTAGCCAGTGGAAGACAGTTAATGTTTAAAACACAGCTATGCACAGCTAATTAGATTTCTGTGAACCAATGCGATTTCACTTTTGACCCAGCAGTCACACCCAGTTAGGAAAAATATCTCAGATTTATATGGAACATGTAGCTTTAAATGTCATTTTATAGCCTCACACCTAGTTAAGACAACAGTGTTAGTCACCAATTCCCTTGTGAAAATGAAGTGTGCTGATTTGTATTGAATGTGTACTTGTACATAAGGTGAAATTAAAGGTCAATTAATTGTGCTAACAATAAATAAATAAAATCACAGTAATTATAAAAGAGTAATTATAAAATCACATATAAAGATGTATCACATATTAAGATGCATTTAAGTCCTACAAGTGTGTCAAAACACTCTGTAATTCAACTAACTGCATTTAACATAAATTTAAACTATACTACATTTTAATTTAATTGCAGTTAACATGCAGTTAAATGTCCAAAAACATTACATTCAGTTTGCATCCAACTATATTCTTTTAAAGTGTATTATTTCAATAATAAGTACTCTCCTCAAAGAAAAAAAAAAAAAGTGTACTTCTTTTTCACAAGGGTTTGCAAGCGAGAGCACATGCTAATGTATTGAGTGGTGTGAACAAAATAAGATAATGTCAGGCAGAAAGACAGAGAGGAGGAAAAGAGACAGAGAAGGGAAGGAAGTACTTGATGACAAAGACCTTGGCGACTACTCTGCCCAGATTTTCGCAGCTGAATGGCATGCCAGGCATTTGTCTTGATTGTTCTTCCTGGTTGTGGCCGGGTTGGCATGAGTCGCAGGCCAGATAAGCATCTATTATTTTTAGTGCTGAACAACGGCCCCAAAGGAGCTGGTATCCTGTTCATATCGCGAAACACTGCAACAGAACACAGCAGAATGTGATCAAGGAGGATACTCCACAACAGGCTGGGATGTAACATGAAAGTCTTTGCAGCCGTTCTCTCAAAAATTGGTTTTGTGCTTTTGTTTAATGCACAGTAGTTAACTGAGCTAATGAAACAATTTGCTGTTAAAAAAATATATATTTATAAAAATGTATTATTATTATTATATATAGTAAATTGTAATTTTTTCAATAAATGATATTAAACAAATTATAACATAACATTTATTTTTGGGGGTGGCAGCTATGGAAGGCAAGGTACAAACAACTTCTAATTAAAGCCAGACTTTGACTAAGAAGGAATCCACAATAAGCAGACATGCACTATCAGCCATCAGTTTGACTAACTAATCTGAGCACAGCATGATTGACAGAGCCTCAGATAGCCTTGTGACTGAATTCTTGACATACAAAAACATTTCTGACTTCCTTTAAACATGTAACACCAGGACTATACAGAAGAAGATGGTTATGAACATATATAGCTCAGTCTGAACAGGCCTTTCAGGTTGCAGCAGCTACTCTAAGGGTGAGATTGAGACCAAGACATGGGACATTAGACATGGAAACACTGGATAATTATCTATGAATCTCTTGAGAAATTCTTACTCCAATGCCAACAGAAAAATTCATTTTGACATAAAGTGTTATGTTATTCATGATGCTTATCATTTTATTTTTTATTTTTGCATTAATCCTCAAAGTGGCACCTGTTATCAGATTAATAGTATCAAGGTAAAAATACATCACTTATTAAAAACACCTGTTGACCGCTGCAAGGGTTTCTCCTGAACTTTAGAATTTTTAATCCTCTTACTCCTAATTTATCGCTAAATTGGTAAATCTAAACTGATAGAGTGTTTGCGCTTGCAACATCAAAGTCATAGGTTCAATTCCCAAGGGAACACACTTACTGATAAAATATATACACTGTAAGATGCATTAGATAAAATGGTATGTCAAATAAATATGTTATGATAAGTTAAATTATATAGAAGAACATGAGTTCAAGTCTTTGAAGCTGTTCATCATGGTGATCATCATCACCATTATCGTCGTGGGTAACCTTCTGGTCATCATTTCTATTGCACGCACCTCCCAGCTGCAGACCATGACGAATATCTTCATCATGTCATTGGCATGCGCTGACCTCATAATGGGGGTGCTGGTGGTGCCACTGGGTGCCACAATTGTCGTAACGGGGAAATGGCAACTCACCAAGACTTTGTGCGAGTTATGGACATCGGTTGATGTGTTATGCGTCACTGCCAGTATAGAGACCCTTTGCATCATCGCAGTGGATCGGTACATTGCAATCACGCGGCCTCTGCGGTATAAAGTGCTCCTGAATAAGTGTAGGGCTCGAATTATCGTTTGTGTCGTGTGGCTGGTCTCATCTCTAATCTCCTTCGTCCCCATTATGAACCAGTACTGGCGTGTGGAGAATGGCGATAAATTCATAAGAAAATGTAACGAGGACCCCAAGTGCTGTGATTTTATAGCAAATAAGCACTTTGTTATAATTTCATCAGTGGTTTCATTCTACATCCCACTACTCATCATGATTTTTGTCTATGCACGCGTCTTTCTCATTGCCACACGACAGAAACAGCTAATCGACAAAAACCGTTTGAGGTTCCAAAATGAGTGCATAGGAAATCGGGTACAGCCGACGCACCACGGCAACAACAACTTACCTTCGACGTGCAATAATGTCGGAGGAACGACGGCAAGGCGGAAAAGTTCCCGAAGGCGACCGTCAAGAATAACCGTCGTCAAGGAGCACAAGGCCCTCAAGACACTGGGCATCATCATGGGCGTCTTCACACTCTGCTGGTTGCCTTTCTTTGTGGCGAACATCATCAATGTCTTCAATCGAGAAGTGCCGACCAAGGACATTTTTCGTTTATTAAACTGGTTAGGCTACATCAACTCTGGCCTCAACCCCATCATCTACTGTCGAAGTCCAGAGTTTCGTGTGGCCTTCAAGAACCTTCTTGGCTGTCCCTGGTTGCCCTCTCTAAAAATGAACTTCCTTTTCAAGGGGCTTCGGACTCGATGCCCCTGCTTCCTGGGGTCTGCGGAGCAAGGAATGCCTGGATCGTTCCAGAAGTCCCCCACATTGCCAGAGACATTGCCTGAAGAAGGGAGCAGTCAGAGCAGCTACAGGAGCGAGGAGGCATCGCCGGGACCGCCACACTCCAATGGCAGCACCTTCTTCAGTGAATTCTCCGAAGCCGAGGCAGAGTTGTGAGTTTCCGTCACTTCTTACTTAAGTGCTTTCAGTTGACTGTCTGTAGAGTTTTACACTTTACCTTGATAAGATTTATTTTAGTACTCACAATGTGTCTGATCATTTTTTCTTCAGAAGTGCAAAATTGTTTGTACTTCTTGATTATGCATGTAAGTATTAGGTCTGTATTGACCAACAATGAATCAGTGCTGTGTCAGTAATGTCAGTTTGCTCTATATCACGTCAGGTGAACTTCAAACCTGCTGTAATCATATGACCCAAAGTTGTGAATGCGCTTGTGGCGACTTTTCTCAGGGGAGATGAAGACCTGTGAGAAGTGCGTCAAGGTTGAGCTGGGCAGTGTTGAAGTGGTCTCGGATTACAGAGCGATTGGACGTGTACTACATTTCACACAAAAATTAATGACTTGTTATGGTAGTGCTCCTGGTGGAATGTAAAGCAGCCAGGTGAAGTTTGTGCAGCGGGGGGGAATACAAGGCGTAAGCTCATAATTGCTTGTGTTTATAGCTGGAATACACAGAAACAAGCTGGCCAGTCAAACGTAATGCAGATAAAGCTTCCTCGGGGAAGCTACAACACTTAATGTTCTGAAGGGAAACTGGCACGAGAAATAATTTTTGCTTTGGTTTGAATATGTTGGCATTATCTTTAAAAGAATGCGTGTCAGAAGAAAGGTATGAGGAATGGAACAGGACACAAGCTCTGATATGAAAGAGAAACCATGTGCTCTAAATCTGGCCTTTTCTCTTAAATGCTCAAGAGAACTGACCATCTTAAAAGAAGCAGAATTGCCCTTTTGTTTATTTTCATTGGACTTTAAATTGTTGACAATAGCTGAGTAACTTCTTTTAATAAAAAAATCTCTTTAACTGTGCAAACAATTAAGAGAGAAAAATATGAAAAAGAAAAACTACAAAATGAAATAGTCAGTATATCATCATGAAATATACAGGTATCCGTCTTAAAATGAGCCATGACACCAGACAGTCTACATACAGTATTTAACTATATTTTGAGTTTCACCTCAATGAAAAGGAGCAAGAATCATGCTGCATTCTCTAGAAATCAAAAACGGGAGAAAGAAAAAAGACACCTTGTAAATTTCAAACAAATCTTGATTTAACCCCTATCCCAACAAACAGAGAAACAACTTTTCATATTGCACTCTCATTTCATTACAGACCTACATTTCTTCATCCAGACCAAAATGAGAATTAATCCAACAGTGTCCACAGGGACCTACAAACACTCCAGTATTGTTTTGTTTCCTAATGCATTTGTACTAGTCTGTCAGATTTACAATGTAAATAGTTTTTTTTTTAAATCCAGATAACATGGTAGTTATTTTAATGACCCACTGCAAGAGGCCAATTTGTAAATTAGCTGTTTTTTTCAATTGTATAAACTCTGCTTCTGCATCACAGGAACTAAATACTTAAACTACACTACATATTTCCTAACATAAACAACAAACATATTTTTTTAGTGTCAGTGCTCTACAATAAACACGTCACAGATAATGAAAAAAAAAAAATCAACATAGGATTTGGAATTCAGTAAAATTACTAAAATTGGATATTGTTTTTGCTCTGTTTATAGAGGCTTTTCAGGAAAGGCTTTTCCTAGAAGGGGGAGACACACTTGACTATAAGAGTATACAGCAGCTGTTACAGGGGTCTGGGTGGGCAAGCCCTGGAGACATTTGCTAGCCACAATGAAGTGGAAACAATGCACACGCATACGCATTTCACATGCAAACACAGTCATGTATTCCAGACATTACAGGAGAGACTTTTTTATTTTTTCTAATCTTGAGTTTTTAGGAAATAATAAAAAAAGAGCATAATGTCTTCTTTCTCTATTCCAACTACTAAAACTACCAAAGCTTCGTAAAATTTTGCACTTTTGTAGTAAATTACAGATTTATATTAAACCAATTAAATTTTTACGAGAATTATTGCTAAGTCTTTATATATAATTTCAAATTATAATATTAGAGTCTTAATTGATCTCGCTGTACACACTCACACACAAAAAAAAACAGTTGTAATTTTGTATTTGATATCACAAATATAAAGCTAATTTTTCTCTTGAGGACATGAAGTTCGAGCTGCTGAACCCACGGCAGACTTCATCTAAGGAGAAAAATGTTGCGGTGGAAACCGAAAGGCAGAAGCAGAGAGAAAGGAACAACTTAGAATCAAGTCATTCTGAGCGACTTCAATCTCCAAATGCTTGAAGCAGTGAGTTCACTGGTGTCAGGTAGCCCATTTCAACAAACAAATCACATTATTCAGCGTATAGCTCACCAACTTACGAGTACATGGAGTAAAATTTGATCAGCCCTGTGATGTCTGAAGCCCTTTTACGTAAACTGTGTACTTTGGTTTTCGTACACCGTGACCAGGTCTCCAGTGAGTTTCATTAAACACAGGGCGAGCTGAACATTATGTCTAGCACATTGTAATAAGACAAAATTAGCATTTTGATTATTTTTGGTACAATGTATTATGAAAGTTGCCCTTGTAGACATACAGTAATTCAAATAATGACAGATGGGACATAATGGCAGTGTGTTTTGTTTAACAGGAAGTCAACATTTTGCCGCTCTGTGCTGCTGATGGGTACATTTTGTGTTGCTGGCAGAAACCCATAAACTAAGCCACAATGATTGCTTTGTGTTTCACAGTGCACTGAGAAAGGGTTGAAATGCTGTGAAAGTTTATTTATTAACCCTCCCTGAGAAAGAGCACTTGTTGCAATTGTTTTTTTGCAAACAAACATACATTTTTCAAGCAATATGAATTTTGGCAGCGTGATGTAACTGCTGTAGAAGCTAAATATGGATTGATTGTTGCCTGTAAATTTGTTGCTACGACTAAAGTAACTTGTATGGGTAAGAATGAGGTGGTTTCTGTAGTGTTTTGGCAAGTTTTAGGGCCCCTCTGTTGCTTCTCTGACACCCCCAGGAGCTGATAAACTTTATCACTGAAACGCAACACTTCCGCTTTTGAGGAGAAGCTGTTTATGACCTAAACTGAGCAAGCGCAGTCAATGCTCAAAGCGAGGGCAAGATAGTAAGCAAACACTTGACACGAAACCTCAATTTCTGCTTGGAAATGAAAGATTAATTTTTTTTTTCGTGTCAGGATTTCGAAGACTTAATGAAAAAAAAAAAAGTTCAACTAACAAAAGTTTGCAGAGCACGACAAAATAAATAAATAAATAAATACAAATGTAAAAATAAATAAATAAATAAAAGATGAGGGAGCCACTGGAACCCAACTTGAAAGGCTTTAATTTATTTATTTATTTAGCTGACAAATGACATGATCACTGTTTATTTAATTTATTATGTAATATTTACTATAATATTATTTACTATCTGTATATATTTATTATAAAATAGAATTAATTTACAAAACGATTTTTTAATAAATTACTTTTTTGTCAGTAAATAAAGTCTCTAAATGAATAAATAAATAAATAAATAAAGAGACACGTTTCAGTGAGGGAGTCAGCCGTAAACGATTCACTGATTCAATTATGTTTCATAAATCATTGCTGCGTCCGAAAGCTCAAAAATGCTGCCTTCAGAGGACGCACTCGACGCACTCGCACCCGTCTCATGAGATACCTTCATCTGATTGATTTTTGAAGGCAGCATAGATGTATCCTTCGCTTCCTTTGATATCCCACAATCCTGTGCGTTCCATTATGTGACGGATGAACTAAAACATAAAGCTGTCATAAAGATAAAGGCATCTGAATGTTTTCGTTTGGTGGTCAGTTTGTGTGTAAATGTATATTTCTGACTAACTTTTTGCACTTTTGATGTTAGTTCTAGTGAGAAATCAGTATTATAGTAATTAAATATTCGTTTAGTTTTCACCAAAATTCGTTCTATTTTGTTGTAGATCATTAAACCATTACGCTGCCTCAGAAGCCTGTCCGAAATCAGTTTCACGAGGTACCTTCGTGCAAAAACACTGCCTGCAAAGTCATTGCCTGATAGGGCAGCGAGGCAGCTGACTAGACTTTCGGAAGCAGCCCATGACTGACTCATTTAAAAGAACCAGTTCATACGAATAATTTCCTTGTGAATCAAACTTCAAGGTTTGTGCCACGTGCAGCAAACACTGGCGTAATCTTTGATGAAACCTTTCATAAAAGGCACTCAAAAGTTTTCCAGACTGTCACCAATGGTGACTGCATATTAAATTATCATAGCAAATTAGCATTTTTGTCGTATTTTCAAACTATTGGCAAATAACCATGCTGTTTAATTTGGAATGTGTTTGTTGTTTTTTCATCAAGTGTTGGTTTGTGCTTGATCTTGGCATATCATTTGCAAGTATCAAAGGTCAGTAAACACAGCCATAAGTGCAGAAATTACTCCTCCAACACATTTGCATACTAAAGTCAGTCTATTTTGAATGGAGCACGTCCAGTTGTGCTGATGATTGGCCAAAATAAATAAATTGTGTTCACCTATCCATGCAAACTTCATGTTAGATGGACACTTCAGAAGTAAAGTTTTGTTGGGAAAAGTTAATGTAGACGGAGACTAGAACATTATCTACATTGTGGAGTAATATTTCTCAACGGGGGCATTCGGAGAGCAACTGGGGGCACTGGA